TCTGTGTACATATTCTTTCCCTGTTGCACCCGGCTTGGTTTCTATCATCCTACTCCTGCGTTGGAATGCAAAAGATAACTGCTGGAGGTTGTGTGGGGGAGAAGATGCTGTAATGCTTGGCTATTGCTTTTCCCATGACTACTGCACCTGTGTTATGTCTAATATCCTGCCTGGTTCCCATGGACTGGGCGCGCAACCGTTTCATTAGCCCGCCAGCGGGAAAGTTATTCATTGGACCTGTATCTCTTTGAAGTTCCTTTATTATGCTTGATCTAACTGTGTATCCCCAGTTCTAACAAAGAACGTGTTTGAGTATGTCGTCAACGCTTTGAAATAAATTTTGCTTTTCTTAAAACGTGGATTTATTCTCGATGCTTGGGGATCCAACACCAATGTAAATTCCTATCTTAGGTGAAGGCTTAGGACAAGAATGTGTAGTGGTTGTATTCTGCATAGTTTACATGACTATGCACCATAGCAGTTCAGTGCAAAGCATGAGCATTTCAACAACCAAAGATGTCCATGTGTAGTTCATGGTAGTAAAGCAGGGGTCTACAAATAAGGTTGCCTTTGGCAACCATGTATTTAACTTGGATGCCTGGACACCAGAGAATCCTTAAGTTTTGCCTGAATAGAACTATTCTATTAGAACGTGAATTTTTATGGTGACAGGATTCCCTACTACTTCATACCAAGAAGTGAGAAGACAGGAAGGAGCATGAGGGGGTTTATTATGACTTCCTCAGAAAATGTTCAGTAACTGTGACATATGGCCTTACATATGTCACACATTTCATTAAATCGCTCTCTAACCTGCATAACAGTTTCCCAGTGTCAATACTGCCATATTTAATACATTGCATGGATTTTAATCATATGCACAATATTCACAGTTAATGGTCCTCTATGCAGATTTTACCCTGACCTGGATAGCCCAGGCTAGCCCAATTTCATCAGATCTCAGATGCTAAGCAGGGTCAACCCTGGTCAGTATTTGGAAGGGAGACTGCAAAGGAAAGCAGAGGCAGGCAATGGCAAACCACCTCTGAATGTCTCTTATCTACAGGGTTGCCATAAATCAGTTGTGACTTGATGGCAAAACAGAACAACAACAACACATGCATTTTGCCATTTCACCTTGGGTACTTTATATCAATGTTAAAAAAATGAAATGTTAATCAATAAATGAAAAGCATTACTAATCTTCTGAATTGGTAAGCATCATACTACCCAGCCCAACAATATAGTTGAGTATATTTGGCGTTTCAGAAAGATTTATATGCCTCCAGAACCTGATAAATATCCTATAAAAATAACCAAATATTTTAAATTAATCTGCAGTAAGACTGTGCATAACATTAACAAAAAGGAAAAGAAAACCAAACAGATTAATGTGTCAGACTTAACGAAATGTTTTAAAACAGGCTACACATATTGCCAATATGGCTGTTTCGGCATTACATTTCTTCCTGCCCAAAACAATGTCAGAAATTAATAAAAAGGCAGAAGTTTCCTATAGCAGAAGTTTGTGGCATCAGCAAAATTAGCAGTGTGAGGGGAAGGCTGACATTCAAATATAACAACTGTCAAATATATTTTAAAAAACAAGCAGGAACCCGCAAGGACTTGCAGGGGACCACTTAATTTTCTCCTGTATCATCTTCCCCATACTATTTCCTCTTTCTTGCCTCCTGGCAGCCCCCGCATCATCTCCATTTGCCTGCTTCCTTCCTTCTCTCCTCCCCTCTCACCAACCACCTTTCTTTTATTTTTATTCACTTCATTTATACCTCACTTTCTTCCCAATGGAGATCCAAAGCAGCTTACATCCTTCTCTTCTTCTCCTGTTATCTTCACAACAACCCTGTGATGTAGATTAGGCTTAAAAAGAGTGACTGACCCAAGGTTATCCAGCAGCTTCCATGACAAGAGTGGAAATTTCATCCTGGATCTCCACTGGCTCTCTGTTTTCCCTCCTTCCCTCCCCCTGACAGCCTTTCCCTAGCCAAGTTGCAAAAAAAGGTCTGGCCAAGTTGCAAAAGTCATGTGGCAGCACTCGCTCAGGTGAGTTGTGTGGTGGCCATTGCTGAACTAGGCTAAGTCATGCAAGTTGTGTGAAGGCTGCTGCTGGGCCCAAACAAATTGTGTGACATTGAGTCACAGCCACCACCACACCTTGGTGAGTTGCACAAATTGCATGGTAGCAAGTTGCCTGGCAGTTTCTGCTGGACCTGGCGCTTTTCTAAAGTTTGTAGAAAAATCTGCCTTTTCTGTTCATGGCTCAATCTCTAGATTTAAGTATCAACAGATGGAGCCATGTTGGGAATGAGATATATTGTGTTACTTTTCCATTCATAATCCTATAGATGTAAGTTTAACAGCTATTATTAAGGCACTAAGTAACAAAAATGATCTCATATTACAAGTAATGCAATGGGCACAACATTTGGTAAATTTGGAAAACTAACTGAAGAAAATTTTGCATGTCTGCCTATTCAGCATTTTCTTGACTAATGGAATGGATAACATACTCCAAGCCATGATCTGAGAGGCACATGATAAAAATAACCTTCCTGAAGTTCAGCAGGCTTTTGTCTGTGCTTGGGTGGAAGACCACCGAGGAACCTATTTAAAATTCAGGAAAGGACGGTGGGATATAAATATAATATAAACAAACTTAAAACAGAACATAAATGGTATAACCTGATATATCACCTGAAATGGTGATAATCAGATTATCACAAACTTTACCCTATGCCAGTATTGCAGAAATTTCTGGGACCTTACAACAGCATCATAAGGACATGTCAACAGACTGATCAGAAAATACGCCAGATCAAATGTTTAGGTTTATATGTTAAACTCATATTTCTAAAGTAAAATATTGATAGAGCACCATTAATAATGTATTCACAAACATCACTTATACTAGATTCGCAGCCTAATAATGAACTAGTTTAGAAATAATAATAGCAAATCTTTAAAAATCTTTGGGCCTTTAGTGAAACTATTCAGAAGTGAACGATTCATGTAGCAGTTAAGGAAACCATGTATAAAGCAAGGCAATCTTACAAAAGACTAAAGAACACAGGCCAACCCGTCTACAAGTACAGGCTGAGTATCAGGATTACACTATCATGTAGTTTTACTGCTATAAAACTATTTTCTCCAACTATTTCTTCTTATAAAAGACAGTTAATTTATATGCTAAATAACTAATCAATTGTAGATTAAGAATCGCATGGACTAGTGTTTGTCATCTTGCCCAGTAACACACAGCATAATCCTTAGAACACTTTCTTGGGAATAAGCCCCACTCAATATAAACCTGAGTAGGATTATAAATAGACCTGTTTAGGATTGCTCTCTAGTATAGCATTTTAGAAACTAACTGATGTATTGTGACATTAGTTTTTATAGCTAACAATCTGCTTCATCATATACAGGACATAAGGGCAATGTTATATTGGATAATGTAGTACAAAATTAAGGTACTGCTACTGTCAGTTTACAACAATGTATAATTATTTCTATGACTAAGAGAATGTGTTACAAAGAAAAATACTCAGGATGCTCATATGTAACACTGCCACTGATTGAGAGCTCACAGACCACAGTCAATAAAATTTGAGAAAAACATATACAATATTAGGATAATGAGACATCATAGAACTGCATACCCCAGAAAAATATCACCTCTTAACTCCTCTATAATGTTTGAAATGGTGAACACCAATATAAATGCCATTATATTCATCTCGGAATGAAAACCTTTCAAAAACGCAGCTAAAATGGATGTGCAATTGATCCACAAATGTTTGAATCCATTGTACTGTGTTACTGTGCAGTGGTACACTTGAAAAATCTCTGCCAATTACTGGTATCTAAGCAATAGGGAAAATACACTAATTATCTACGAGAACCTAAACTTAACATGCGCACCCACCCACTAGCCTATTTTAAAACATTTGCCTCCTACTTTTCAGGCAAATCCTTAACACTGGAGTTGCTGAAGACCTCATGTACAAAAGGACATATGGGAAGATTTCCACACCCTTTTTAACAATAGTATCAGATCTTAATTTTTAACCTATTACCAAGCAAGTTTGCTTCTGTCCACCCTCAAAACTTATTATGCATTACTTCATGTCAATCTGTCACATTTCTAGTATGCCCCCTTGTATGCCCCCCCCCCCCCCAAGAAGGAAATCCGGGGTTATGCAGCCAAGAAAAAACACGAAAAAAAATAATAAGCAAAACAGCCCGCATAACCTAGGTTTCAAAGGTGTTATACACCCATCCCGTGGAGATGGGGGAGGGTTTAAGCAGAGAGTAGGCCACTTACACATCTTTAGAGACTAAAGTTTGCTATACCGACCTCTGGGGAGGCGGCCAAAGCCAACAGAAGGGGAAAACACGGAGAAGAAAAAGAAAAGAATGGTAGACTCGATGTGGCAAAGCAGTACGACAGACGAAGGGAAAGGAAGGGGGGGGGAGAGGAATGAGGAAGGAAAGAAGGTGGATTGCTCCCTTCCTTCCTCTCCCTGGGAGAGCCGTGACCAGCGGCCAAGCCGCCGCCAGTGCTTGGCAGAGCAGGCTGCGACCCTCCCCGTTGACGCAGGCCTCCATCACCTGTCTGGGACCAGAGCGACCGAGGCGTGCAACCCTCTTCCATCCACCCGCACCCACCCCCCTCCACCGGGGCGTGTAGGTACGGAACGGGCTCGGAGAAGGAAGGGGAAGGGAAAGAAAGGGGAGCTCCGGATCTCTCGGCTCTCTCTCTCTCAGCAGTTCCCGCTGGCGGCGGCCCCAGCCTCCTCGGAACCAGGGGCAGCCAGCAGAGTCCGGGCTGCTGCGGCACCCGCCCGGCTACAAACCCCACTGCTACTGCAGCTGACAGGGTTGGGTGTAATGGGGGGGGGGAGAGAGAGAGAGAGAAAGACTGGCCAGAGTTGGCCGAGGAAAGCGAGCGGGGGGGGGGGCGGATTATCTCCTCCTACCTCCGCCTCGGCTCTTCCGCGGCATTCCCAGGGCTCTCACTCCGCGCCGGCGGCGACCGTTTCCCTTCGGGACCGCAGCCTCCCTCAGAACTCCCAGCCGCGACGGCCTGGCCCCATCCCGCCTCCCCTCCTCCCTCCCCCCTCCCCGGTGTTCTCAGTTTAGTAATGGCGGCGGCGGCG